AGAATAGATACATTGGGTTTGTTGTACCATAGTATTAATAATATACGCAACTATTAATCTTATTGATCGGTCTGACAGAGATATTCTATAAACCAAATTTAACTTAATTTACCAATTCAAAGTCATTGTACTTCTTTCATTAAAAAAAAGAAGTCATTGTACTTCTTTCATTGAAACTTGTCAAGTGACGCACTGAGATCTGAGATGAAAATGAAAGTTGTTCTCAGTCTAACACTTAAAATACTGGTATTGCACTCTATCTCTATTAAAATAACATGAAATGGTGAAATTTAAAATTTACCCGAATACCATTCACATTCCTTGAGATGCCAAGCTGCCAAGAGATTCGACCCCATTGTGCATATGATTCTCGTTGACTATTGGAACATGTTTACAGTCATTGACTTTTGCTGCACATGGTGCTGTTCCTGCTGATGATGCCATTAGAGTATACAACTGTCCTATTGCAACATCTGACTAAACCAAATGGGGCATGAAATGCAAGGGCTCCTTCTCTGCATCTATATCTATATAAACATGTATATATTGTAAGAGAAGCAAGGCAAAGCACAAAACTACCAAATAGCAGTGGGGCAACCTGTGAACACTCATATCCCATATAGAATTAGGGATGGCGTCTAAACTAGTTAGTCGTAATGTGAGAGCTGCTGTTGTTGTAATTGTTATAGCAGCAGCAGCGGCATTGATCATAGAAAGAGCAGAAGCTGAAACACACACGGTAGGCGGCGCTTATGGCTGGACCAATACTCTTGCTCCCGAATTTTATACTTCCTGGGCTGCCAATCACACCTTCAAAGTTGGCGACATTCTAGGTAATTTACAATAGGAATTCAAATATTAATATCAGAGAGAGACACCAACTTATTAACATTTTAGGATCTTAATTAGTTTGTTTGTGTTTGTGTTTTGTTGTTGTTGTAGTGTTCGAATTCACCACCGGAGGACATGACGTAGCGAGACTTGGAAAGGAAGCTTTTGATGCGTGCAACAACACCGATCTGCTGAGCCTACCTGAAAACCAAGGACCCGCCAAATACAGCCTCAATCAAACTGGCGATTACTATTTCATCTGTGCTTTCCCTGGTCACTGTAGCCAGGGTCAAAAGTTAAGCATCAAAGTCACAGCCACTGGCCCTTCTGCCCCTGCCCCTGCTCCTCATTCTGAAACCCCCACAACTCCTACTGCTCATGCCCCTGCTCCTGCTCCTAATTCTGAACACCCCAAAACTCCTTCTCCTTCTCAAGCCAAGACTCCTTCTCCTTCTCCGTCTTCTCAAGCCGAGACTCCTCCTTCTGAGGCCACAACTCCTTCTTCGTCGCCACCAACCAAGGCAACCACAACAGCACCTCCTCCGTCCTCAGCCTCGTCTCTGGCTTCTGCTATTTCTACTATTTTCATGTCCATTGCCATTGCTCTTTTCTACCTCTTCTAGGCTAGAGTCCAACTACTCAGTCTTCTTTCGATCGGCCCTTAAGCTTTCCTTTGTTATTTAATGTTCATCAATGTGAGTTCAATGCTTCATGCTTTATTCTAGAGACTGCCAATCATGATCATCTTAATTAATCTGCTATTTTGTACTATTGAAATAAATTACTAAATACCCCTATATATAAAAATGAAAATCAAGAAAGTTTGACACATAAGTGTAACTGGATTTCAAAGATTTTTTTGTCCATGAGAGGATTTGTGTCCAACTATTACGATGACAGCTGATGATACACTATAAATATCAGAAAAATAGATAACAAAACAACCATCGTGTTACGTTTTAATCTCACTGATACAGAAATTATTTACCCTATACTTACACAGATACAATTTTTAGAAATTACATTAAGATTATGGCGAAAAATCTAATGCTGTTCAGTTTAGACATAAAAATCATACAACTTCATGAAGCAGATGCTGTATTTCTGAGGTGTCAGAGGCATTCTGGAACAAGATCCACGCAATCGGCCATTTCTTGTACAAAGATTTCAGTTGGTTCTAGGCATCCTCTCAACGTATCATGCCCGAGTTTGCCCTTTCATTATCTCCGAATCCGAAGATTTGTCCGTGGCTAGTGAGAGCAACAGTATGGCACAGCCCGGTGCTAATCTGAGAAACATGATGAGCTCTTAAGCTTTCAAACATGGTGGGCTCAAAATTTTATCAGATATTCCCCTATCTGGAAATCCAAGGCTACCAAACCCCATCCAACCACAACCATATACTGAATCAATGTCAGCCAGAACAAAGGTCTTCCGCTTTTTAGTACACACCTATTGAATACAATAACTGTGAGAAGTTCTACACAAACAGGGTAAAAAAGCAGAACAGATTTGATTCTTTTCAACAGCTATACAAATTTTGCAACACCAAAGGTTGTCCTTGTTCTGTAGTACCGCATCTATGCTCGTCGCCTGCAGAGACTTGAACCACATGAATGCCGTTTCTTTTAAATGTTTGAATTGCGCGTGGCTGGAACTCATCATGCTGCTCTCCGTGGACAAGACAGAAGTTAGAACCTGAAACAAGTTCTAGCTATTTAATGTTTAATTACATGTTGTAGGAAAATTAATTGTCATTTATAAGATAACAATGTGGATAAAAATTTACCTGCTTGCAAGGAAGTCCCTTCAATGCATCAACAAGCTTAGGCCTAAAAAATTGGCCGGTTTGTATCTTTATGCCTGCAACAAAATGATGAATTATCCCCACATGTGAAAACCTGTATCAGCAACCGGCATGGCATTATTGCATGACCATGGCAAGCAATGTATCAAATTGTGGGAGGCCAAGACTTGGACCGCGTGTGCTGGAGATGAAAAATTAATCCAGGTAAATGTTACACATTGCTTAGTCTCAGGACCATGACCAAGAACACCACACACAAGCTGGAAGCCTGGAACCACATTGGTAGAAATACAATGATGAATTTCTGATTAGCAATGTGTGATACCTTCCAGTTGTAATTTGCATCTGCTGATAGAAACAATCATAATTAACCATAACGTTTAGCCAACATCTACCAGAAAGGACCAGAAAACAGGGGAACTGATGATTGACTTAATTAGCAAACTCCACAAAAATCTATTATCCAGCACATTGGTGTTTTTTCCCTAAATCAGTACTCCAAATTGCAGATATAGTTCATTCATTTATAAGCAACTGTACATGGTAATGAAATAGTACGTTGCATGTTGAGGTCTCGACCATGTCAGATGATTGCTCCACCGACCGCAAGAACCTCAGATGAAAAATGCACAGGTTTTTGATACAGTGATTGGAAATAAAACATCAGATAAAATAAGACCTTTGCTTGCAAATTTTGAGTAGAAAGCCAATCAAGGAACATAATTTACATTTTAGAAGAGCAAAAAAGTGAAATTGAAAACCGCCTAAAATAAAAAATGATCGCAAATGAATGAAATGAAGGAGCGCAGAGCACGGGTTGAGCCGCGCGGATATACTCTGAAAATAGAATATTTCACAGTACCGCCGCGCGGCTATAACCTATGAATATAATTTTTTTCAAAGTATAGCCGAGCGGCTATACTATTTAGATTTTTTTAAAGACGTTTTTATAAAAAGCGTATGGCCGCGCGGCTATACTCTATAAATAGAATTTTTTTCACTTTATAGCCGCGCGGTTATACTTTGAAATGTGAGTATTTTGTGTATAATACGTGAATTTTTTGTGTATTATTAAAATCTTTATATAAAAAAATATGTGTATTAAACATGAAAAATACTTACATTTGTGTTATATATAATATTTCACAATACACAGAAAATTAAGTTGAGTGGCTAGCTATCAAGATTTTTAACGTTTTACGTTACTTTGTCAACATAATTAACATCGACAGTACCCAACCCTTCGAGATATTACGTAATTAATCAATGCTTTGTTTCTTCGGGGGCATCCCTTAACAATTAATTAAAGCATGGATACATAGCTATACACAGCTAGCTATACACAATGCTGGTATAACTTGTCTCTTTGTGAAATTTGGCGGCTCTCGCTCACCCGCTTCCTAAAATCCGAGAGCTCTCTCCCTCTATAAATTCAGACTTCGAGTCCCGACCATATTACTAACTTCCTTCCTTCCTTCCTACACAAGAACACAAACACAAAGACTCGTAGGAGAAATATTGAAGAAAGATATGGTGGCTAAAAGCATGAATGTGAGCAATGTGCTGGTCCTTGTTATAGCAGCGGCAGTATTCACGCTACATGGAACAGAAGCTGCACAATACACAGTAGGTGACAAGCTGGGTTGGACCATTCCTCCGGGTGGCGCCGCCACGTACGCTTCATGGGCTGCCAAGCATAGCTTGGTAGTTCAGGATATTCTAAGTGAGCTATACTTCTGTGAAACTTTCCAAATTATAAATTAATTACCTTCTATCTAATTAATATTTGTATGCATTATTAATTGGCAAAAAGTCACTTTTGGTCCCTGTAGTTTGTCACTTTTATCACTTTGGTCCCTGTCGTTTCAATTTGATCAATTTTGTCCCTGTAGTTTTGAATTTAAGCAATTCAAAGACAATTTTCAATTTCTGTCAAATTTTTTAAACTTCCGTTACTTGTAAAAGGGCAATTCCGTCAAATTATTAAAAAATTAATTCCTTTTAAAAATAAGCAATACAAAATAAAATTTTAATAATAAAAAAATATCTTCTTCTCCCTCTCTCCCGTCCGCTCCCCCTCCCCTAACTTCACCATCAGATCACCACCCACCACCACTCCAACCCCACCCAACAAGCCACTGCCCAACACCACCCACCCAATATCCAACCCTTGCCACCCTCCCACCACAAAACTTCTCAATAAACTCCACCTCTCTCTCTCTCTCTCTCTCTCCCAAACCTAGCCGCGACACCCAGGCAGTCACCCACTCCGCGACGACCTCCGGATACCCCTTCCTCGCCCTCTGTTCTGAACCCACCCTCAGCTTCATCAAAATGGTCATCAATCGCAGCGGCGACAACGCCAAGGTTCAAAAAATTCCCGGAATTTGCAGCCACTACATGAACGCCATTGAAGAAATACTGGAACACTCTCAGCAAGAACTGCAAGGATAAAAAGCAATGAGCACAATACTTAATGATGACATCTGAAGGTATAGCTCATGAATCTATTATATATCTATATTTTAAATAATTGTCAATCATTGCAAACCAGACATATCTTTATTGCACGTATATATAGCAATAATTTTTAAAATATACCTGAAATTTTTTGGCTTGAAACTCTGTGAGCTTGGCTGCAAACCCAGAGAAACCATATCTATAACTGTTTACCATTAATTCTGAGGCCAATTCCTTGCTGGGGTCGGGGAGGATGATAGTGGCGGTGGGGTTTGGATAATCTGGGTATCTTCTTTTACTTTTTTTTTGGTTATTTTATTCTTGGTTTTTTTTGGGGTGGGGGGGGTTTGGTTATCTTTGTTTTTGACTGAAATGCCCCTCAACAACTAACGACAGTTACTCTATTTTGACAGAAATTGAAGATTGTCCTTAAATTGTTTAAATTGAAAACTACAGAGACAAAATTGATCAAATTGAAACGACAGGGACCAAAGTGGCAAAAATGACAAACTACAGGGACCAAAAACGACCTTTTGCCTTATTAATTCGCTAACCTAGATGCATATATGTTGTTTGTGCAGCCTTTAACTTTGCGGTTGGAGAACAAGATTTGGCTTTAGTAACCAAGGAGGATTTTGATGCGTGCAACACAGCCGACCCGTTGCTTGTGTTCCAACAACCGGGAGACTATATATTTCAAAGCGAGGGCATGTATTATTTGACCTGCACCTTCGCCGGCCATTGCGCCAAAGGCCAAAAGATTGCCCTTTACTTCGCTCCCTCAGGCGGATCTCCATCTCCAAGTCCCGCTGCAGGTCAAAGCCAAAGTCAAAGTGCTGATGATGCTGCCGCGGTCAAATTTGTGTCCAAGAAAGAGTATGGCTTCAAGAAATTAATGCCTGGAACGATGAAGTCCCTCTAAATATTCCATGCTCGCTATATATAGCTTGCCAAGAAGAGTACTTTCTGCTTATTATTATCTTATGAATAACTAGAAGCACTGTCTGCTTAGTATGTTATGTGATCCATATATGCCCCAATAATAAATTTATTATTTATATTTAAGTCCAGTTTTTGTGATTCTTTTCTTTGCCATATGTGTGATTAAGTTTAATGTTGAGTTAATGTCGAGGATTTTACTTTTTCGACATAATTAATATCGAGGCAAGCATATTGACCGATCATTATAGGTATGAATTAATTAATGATTTGATCTTGTACTGCACCTTACAAATTACAATTACACAGGACAGCTAGCTTCCTTAACTAGCTTGCAATTTCTGGATGTCATACACTATGCATATCACATATCCCTTTGTGAAAAATTTGGCACAGCTCGATCGCTTAACCGCTCCGAGGGAGCTCTCTCCCTCTATAAATTCAGACTTCTCTTCTTCCCAACCCTAGCTACCACTAACTTTCATTCCACCCCCCTACACACAAGAACACAAAACACAAGGACTTACGAAAAAAAATATATATATATATTGAAGAAATATATGGTGGTAAACCATGAATGTGAGCAATGTCATGGTCCTTATAGCAATGGTAGCAGCAACATCACTTTTAATGTTACAAAGAACAGAAGCTGCAGAATACACAGTAGGAGACGACCTGGGTTGGACCATTCCTCCGGGTGGTGCCGCCATGTACGCTTCACGGGCTGCCGAGCATAGCTTGGTAGTTAACGATATTCTAGGTGAGGCTACACCTCTGTGAAAATCTCCAAATTATTAATTAATTACTCTACAATTAGTACCTATATGTATGTATGTGTACGTATGTGCAGCCTTCAACTTTGCAGTAGGAGAGCAAGACTTGGCCTTAGTAACCAAGGAGATTTTGATGCGTGCAACACGGCGGACCCTTTAGTTGTGTTTCAAGAACCAGGAGAATTTCAATTTATCTCAGTGGGCACATACTATTCGACCTGCACCTTCTCAGGCCATTGCTCCAAAGTCCAAAAGATTGCCCTTTACTTGGCTCTCCCAGTTCAGGATCCCCAACTGCCAGTCCAACTCCAAGTCCTGCCCCCCCCCCCGAATTTTTATCTCTATATAATATATAAAATTTTTAATAAACCACTTATAATTTAAGTTAAAGTTCCCTCTAAAACAAATTAGACACAACTAAATTAGAAATATTTAGCTCTAAACATGTAATTATTGAATACTTAGGTATTTTATACTTCGGCCCCCTAGCTTTACAATTCTAGCTCCGCCCAACAATATGGGCTCAAGAGATTACTGCCTGTAATGATGTAATTCCTTTGTTGCTAGCTTTGCCTTTGATTGATTGCCTCTAGGCTGTATGCCAAGAGGAGGAAAACTATATATATTTTCTTATGAATAACTAGAGGTTTGTGTTCTATACACCAAAAAACATTTGAACACATTTGTATAGTTCAGTATATATCATGATTTAAGGTTTTAAGGTTTGGACGACATAATTAATATCGACCCATCACTATGCGTATCAATAAATTAATGGTTCGATGTTCCTTAATTAGCTTGCAATTTCGGGATGTTAAACACAATGCATATTTTGACTTATCGCTTTGTGAAATTTGGTGGGTTTTGCTCATCCGCTTCCTAAAATCCAAGAGGTCTCCCCTCTATAAAATCAGACTTCACTTCATCCCAACCATATTACTAACCAACTTCTGTCTTTCCTTCCATCACAAAGAACACAAACACAAGGACTTACGTAGGAGAAATATTGAAGAAATTAAGATGGGGGCTAAAACCATGAATATGATCCTTGCAATAGCAGTTGCAGTGTTCATGCTACATGGAACAGACGCTGCAGAATACACAGTAGGAGACGACCTGGGTTGGACCATTCCACCAGGTGGCGCCGCCACGTATGCTTCATGGGCTGCCGAGCATAGCTTGGTAGTATACGATATTCTAGGTGAGCTATGCTTTTCCTTTTATTACTTGTTCTTTTTGTTTTTGGGAGTGTCGTTGGCTTGGCATGGCATGGCATGCATCTCACTAATTAATCTATATGGTTTTGTTTGTGCACTGTGCAGTCTTTAACTTTGCAGTAGGAGAACAAGACTTGGCTATGGTGACCAAGGAGGATTTTGATGCGTGCAACACCGCAGAACCCTTAGTTGTGTTCCAAAAACCAGGAAAATTTAAATTTGTGGGCGAGAGCACGTACTATTTGACCTGCACCTTCGCCGGCCATTGCGCCAAAGGCCAAAAGATTGCCCTTTACTTCGCTTCCTCAGGCGGATCTCCATCTCCAAGTCCCGCTGCAAGTCAAAGCCAAAGTCAAAGTGCCGATGATGCTGCCGCGGTCAAATTTGTGTCCAAGAAAGAGTATGGCTTCAAGAAATTAATGCCTGTAACGATGAAGTCCCTGTAAATATTCCTTGCTCGCTATATATAGCTTGCCAAGAAGAGTACTAGTATTATCATCTTATGAATAACTAGAGGCACTTTGTGCTTAGTATGTGGTGTGATCCATATATATGCCTCAATAATAAAATTATTATTTATATTTAAGTCCAGTTTTTGTGATTATTTTCTTTAATTTGTCGAATGTAAACAAATTACAATCCTAAAATCCGAGAGCTCCCTCCCTCTATAGATTCAGACTTCACTTCTTCCCAACCCTAGCTACCACTAACTTTCATTCCATCTCCATATTCAAGTCAAAGTCCCAATCGTGATTTATATATAAGTCCACTCTTGCTAATTTTCCCCTGGGTTATTTTGTGCAAGTCCCCTTGTGAATCCTACTCATGTTTACTCATTCAAATTTGAAACCCGATCAAATCTGCCAAAATAAGAGAAAAAGAGAAAAATATATATCTTAAGGATTAGACGAAACCCAATATAGGACAAGAAGATAATGACATCAAATATTGAATCAAATTTTACAAAAATATGGTTCTGAGGAAGGCGGAGCTAGAATTGTAAAGTTGGGGTGGCCGGAATAGAAAATACAAATATGTAAAATAATTAAGTATTCAATAGTTACATGTCTAGAGCTAAATATTTCTAATTTATTTTAGAGGGAATTTTAACTTAAATTATAAGTTGTTTAGTACTAGTTCTATATGTTATATATAATATAATAGTAGAGAGATGAAAAAACATATGGGGGACCAGAGCCACTCCAAGCCTAGGAGTGGCTCCACCACTGTGTGGAATGAAAATTAAAATGGAAGATCTAATGTTTAATGATTTGGGACTTTTCCCCTACTGCTGTGAGAGATCTAATGTTTAATGATTTGTGTCAGGTTTCTACCCCTAGATTTGTTGTTGTTTAGTGTTTGTGCTGGGCGTTAGCCCTCCTCTTTACCAAAAAAATTTAAAAAAAAATTAAATGGAAGATTAAGAAACAAAGCAAAACCTTTTACCTATGCAGGTAAGTCAAAACCTCTAACCAAATTCACGCCTAATATTTTCACATTAGGATCCGTAAATGCGGTACATTTACACGGTAATATTTCCACATACCCTGACCAAATTCACCAACATTAGGATTACTAGTTAATAATTGATCAAGTTTGATTGTGGGCGGAAGGTGCCAAGGGCTGCAGGTAAAAAGTCTACTAACCACATTTTACATCTCTCATATAATTGTTTGGACCCATATATGCGAATACAAATGAGTCCAACTTTTACAAAAACTAGAGCAAGTAATAATATATTATGATAACTCAAGGCCAGCTTATTGCCACAAGATTAATGATGAATACGTACAAATTTATCAGTGCTGGTTGATTGTAGCTTCTGTTTGGTGAGATTATTAGTGCTGGCTTACTAGAAACAACTATTCATTTCAATTATGAAGCGAGCTTTTCCTTTTAGGCAATCAAGCAATGCACGCCAAGGCCTGCAGGTTTGTGTTCTATACACCAAAAAACATTTGAACACATTTGTATATATAGTTCAGTAAATATCATGATTTAAGGTTTTAAGGTTTGGACATAATTAATATCGACCCATCACTATGCGTATCAATAAATTAATGGCTTGGTGTTCCTTAATTAGCTTGCAATTTCGGGACGTCAAACACAATGCATATTTTGACATCGCTTTGTGAAAGCGGGTTTTGCTCATCCACTTCCTAAAATCCAAGAGGTCTCCCCTCTATAAAATCAGACTTCACTTCATCCCAACCATATTACTAACCAACTTCTGTCCTTCCTTCCATCACAAAGAACACAAACACAAGGACTTACGTAGGAGAAATATTGAAGAAATTAAGATGGGGGCTAAAACCATGAATATGATCCTTGCAATAGCAGTTGCAGTGTTCATGCTACATGGAACAGACGCTGCAGAATACACAGTAGGAGACGACCTGGGTTGGACCATTCCACCGGGTGGCGCTGCCACGTATGCTTCATGGGCTGCCGAGCACAGCTTGGTAGTAAACGACTTTCTAAGTGAGCTATACTTTTCCTTTTATTACTTGTTCTTTTTGTTTTTGGGAGTGTTGTTGGCATGGCATGCCATGGCATGCATTTCGCTAATTAATCTATATGGTTTTGTTTGTGCACTGT